ACTTAATACCAGTGGGCTGCCTTAAAACTCTGTGAGACAACTATGTCTTAAAAAAAGGTTTGTTCCATCTCTTCTGGGCACAATGATTCCAACTTCCTGTTACACAGCCAAAGCAAACCTTTCAGAGGATAACTGGTTAGAAGTCTAAGATAATATGGCTGCACAGATCATCTCAATTTTCAAATGCCCTGAAGTGTTGATGGTGAGCAAAGTCATTTTAAGGCAAATACCTTCAAGCGCAATTTGCCTGCATCTTACAGATGGATTAATTCTCTATATAAATATGTATTCCTATAATCTTTAAGAGAGTTCTTTGTGTTATTTCACCCTTTCACGTATTTTCCTACATCCCAAATTGTATTTCCCACAAGTCCAGTTGCGTAGAATGCGTCCCAGTGAGTAAACATTGTCATCTTAATTCATAGTGGCTTTAAATAGCGTGGGTATGACAATATCAACAGTACTCCCAACGCATTGCTGACACGCTCGTGTCCTCTTCAGCAGGAACATTTCCTACAGCACGATGACAGACTGGCTCTGATACCTCCAATGGGAAATCCACGCTCAAAGTAACAGTTGTGTTCGGTTCCCACCTTCCAAGAACTGCTACAGGGGGTGATGGTAGGAACTTTTCTTTTATCCCCCAGAAAAAAGAAGCAAAAATAAAGTGTGAACTAGGGGATTCAAAGGGAGACTTGGGAAATTCTCTGGAATCCTGGGATTTCCTCAGGGATGGAGAAGGACAGAGGAAATGATTGTCAGTGTCAAGCTTAAGACCGGGCCATTCAGCATCAGGGATACTTTCTCTGTATTCCCAGAATGCCTTGCAGCAGGCCCGCCCCCAGGAATTTCCCAGCATGCTCGGCTTGCTCCCTGGCCCACCAGTGAGCTGAGAGCATCCCTGTATCATTGTGTATGTTGATAGGGTGACATCGGTCCGAGCGTTTGTCCAAACGTAGCTGAAGCAATTTAAGATTTGTGCATTTAATTGCATACACGCCGAAGTGTAAACAAATATTAAATTCTAGAACGTACAAGGCAGGACCGGGAAGACTGCTGTGCAGAGGAGTCACTAACATATGTCAATTGTATGTAACATGTATTATAATTGACACCAATACAAAGTACTTGCTCTCCAGTAACCATGTCAGAACCCACCAGCATCTATCCTTAGTAAATTAGATGTGCTTTTATTCATTAGCAATTTGCATATATTAAG